CTCTCTCTCTCTCTCTCTCTCTCTCTCTCCCCCCCTCTCTCTCTCCTGGTCTCTCCCTGGCCCTGGCTCCCTCTGTCTCTCTCCCCATGTCTCATCCCCTCTTTTAATCTCCCCCATCTCACGCTTCCTATCTCTGTCTCTTGCTCTCTGGTGGAGCATTGTGACCGGAGAACCAGCAGGTAGGAGCCCCCAAGCTGGGTAAGGAGATGGAGGTGGGGGAGTGGGATGGGAGGGAGATTATTGGTCACTGTTGGGGGATCCAGGCCCCTAGACTGGTATTTGCTGGTGAAGGGGGGTGGTGTCCAGGATGAGTCTATGTATCGGAGATTGAGTCCCCTGGACTGGTCTGCTTGAAGGAGATAAAATCTTCCAGACTGGTCTATAATGAAACTGGGGGCCCTCAACTGATCCGTGCTGGGAAGGGGGGACCCCAGGTGGTCTGTCCTGGGATGGGGAGGAAGGTCTGAGTGAGTGATCTGTGCTGGGTGATGAAGACGTGGATTCCCAGATCTTTCCTCCTCTAATCCTCGGGGCGAGGGGGGGTGTGGGATGATTTCTTAGGATTTGGGGGCATAGAGTGTCTGTGTCCCCTCTGGCTCATGGTACCTATCCATGGTCCTCTCTGTCTCTTTTCTGTGTATGTGCCCCTTACCTTCATGCCTTTCCATCTTTCTGTTTCTTTGTGCTGCTGCTGTTTGTGTTCTCCAGGTCTCTTCAATCTCTTTCTGTCCCTGATTCCCCCCCCCCGACTCCCCTTCCTCTTATCTCTCTCTCTCTCTCTGTCTCTCCATCCCCCTCTCCATCCCCTTCTCCCTCTCCCCTCTCTCCCCTCTTCTTCTCCCCAGAGCCTGGTAAATCCCCGCCCACACACTCATCTCCACCCCCGCTTGCGGAGGAGGGTTTCAGGAGGGAGGGGTTTGAAATGAGAGTGGGCCCCATGACTGTTCCCACTACCTGAATTCACACCATCGTCAGATGGAAGGGTTTCCATCCTTTCCCCCTCTCCACCCCTAGCTCAGTCTCTCTAGCTTAAACCCTAGCCACCCCCTCCCCCTATACTCAGGTCTCCCTATGAGTCCTGACTGTATTCTGACCTCCATCCTCCCCACCCTTTGGGGGCTGGCTTGCCAAAAGAGGAGAGATAGAAGACGAGGGCTCTGAGGAAACTAGTGTGGGGGATGTCTTTTCATTAACATAGCCTTTCGCCTGTCCCTGGAGGCCAATGTTTATTTCCTGAGGGGTTTGCTTAAGACGGTTCTTGCTGAAATCGAACTCCTCATCCCAGATTAGGTCCATTGAGAGGGGGTCGAGAAGATGGGGGCAAAGTGAATATGACTGTGTTGTGAGTGTGTGTACATGTGTGTCTATAAGTAGTGTCTGTGTGTCTCTGTGATTGTGTTTCAGCCGGGTGACGGTGGGACCATGTGTCTGTTTCAGACGGGTGGCTCTGTGTATGTGTTTTCCTGGTGAAGTAGTTTACGGTTGCATGTGGCCATCCATATGAGTGGTTGATTATATGTTAGTATTCTGTAACTGTTTCCAGTTATGTAGCTGTGTGATTGTGCATTCATGCCTAGGAAATGTCTGTGAATGTGTGTGTGTGTGTGTGTGTGTGTGTGTGTGTAGGGGGGTGGTTGTGTACCTGGCTCTGTGGCTGTATTGGTGAATGTGTGTGTGTGTGTGTGTGTGTATGTGACATGCCCAAAGTTGGGCATGGACTGTGGTTGGCAGGATGTGTGTGTGTGTGTGTGTGTGTGTGTGTGTGTGTGTGTGTGTGTGTTTTCACTGGAAGGGGCTATGCTCTTCACATTCACAACCAGAAGACCCAGTGCCTTGTACAAAGCCATGGACACAGAGTCGAACAGCTGCCTGTCAGTCACACGCACACACACATACACACACACACACACACACACACACACGCACAGAAGCATATGCCCAAAGGAGCACAGGCACCTGGAAGGAAGAGGACACTTCCTGCCTGGCCCCATCCTGGCCCACAGCCCAGCCAGCACCGAAAGATGGGGGTCAGACTATGGGAAAGACTTCCCCACAGCCCCTAGAAAGTTAAGATGCCCCTGACAAAGAGAACGGATCCAGCCCCCTCGGGATTAGGTGACCCAGCCTCGTCGGGCCTAGGATCTCAAAGCCCCGGTCAGGTTTCAGGTCAATGTCAGGGAGAGAGAAACGCTGATACCTCCTGGCATTAGAAATTGGGTGGCTGCTAAGAGGCGGTTACTGGACGTGGGGGTCAAGGGGGTACCCCCCAATCCTACCACTGGGAAGTCCTTCCTATGAGTCTGCCCACCCTCCCTCCTGCTGTAGGAGCAGAGGTAACGATGACTCAGTAAGAAGGAAGCCGAGAGCAGGGGAGGGCAGGGGAGGGCAGGGGAGGGGAGGGGGAGCAGACACACTGTCTCTGAGTGCTCAGGGGACACCTAGTCTTGGCCTGGCCTCCCTCCTCCCTGCTTTCCCCCACCACCCGGCTTTTAATAGTCAGGAATTGGTTGCCATGACAGCTGGGAGGAGGTGGGAGCTGCTTCTGTCTCTTGTGTGTTGTGACATGTCTGTTACTGTCCCCATTCCCTTAGCCCAGGGGGTCCCAGATCGCCACCCTGTGGGATCATGGGGAGGGGGAAGGGGTCTCCAAGCTAGGCATTCTGTCTCCCTCGATCTCTCCACTCACCTGCCTCGTCTCTCTGTCTTCCTGTCCCTTCCTGGTCTCTGTCTCTTTTCTTGTCTGTCTCACTTTGCCTCTACTCCTGATTTCTCTGTGTCTCTCCCTTTCTCTGACTCTCTCAGTCTGTCTATCTGGTCTCTCCCTGTATGTCTCCCCATCTGTTTGGTCTCTGTCTCGTCTCTGTGGTCCTCCCTTTCTCCATCTCTCTTCTGGTCTCTCTGTTTCTCCCTATCTTCCCCACTCTCTCTGTCTGGTCTCTGTCTCTCTCCTTATTTTTTTTTTGTTTTTACCTTGGTCATTGAGATGTGTCTGTCCCCACCTAGTTTTTCTGGTTCTCTCATTCTATTTCTGCTTCATCTCTCTGTGTGGCTCTCCCTCTGTTTTTGAGAATCTTCCTTGAACCTGAAACCCCAGTGTGTGTGTGTGAGGACAGACAAGTTGAGTCAGAGCCATATTCCATTCCCTAAGTGAGGAGGTCAGTGAAGACACTTGTCATCCCCCCTTCCCCACTCCCTCCCTCCTTCAGGACCATGGGCTTGGGAGGACAGAGGGTAGAATTGATCTCTGTTTTCTGACTGTCTGCCCTGTCTCTGTGAGAGTGTGTCTTTCTTCACCTCTGTGTATCTCTGTCTCTCTTTGCTGTTTTGTGTGTCTGTGCCAAGATTCCCATGTCTTTGCTAGCACCTCCCCCCCAGCCCTCCCATAACCTTCTCACCTGACTGCCCTTCTTTATCTCTACCCAACAGACCAGGTTCATACTACACTCCCTTTCCCTGTCTCTCCATGGCACCCTCACTAGCTCTGGCTGGGGCTGCCCTCCTGGCAGGTGTGGCCCCTTGCTCTGGGGACACCCCTGCCTCAGCCTCCCCACCACCGACCTCAAGTCCCAATACAAGCCAGGAGAGCAGCTGCCCTGGCTCTACACGCTGTCAACCTGGTGTCCTGCTGCCTGTGTGGGAGCCAGATGATCCATCACTGGGAGACAAAGCGGCCAGAGCTGTGGTCTACTTTGTGGCCATGGTCTACATGTTCCTGGGTGTGTCCATCATTGCTGACCGTTTTATGACCTCCATCGAAGTCATTACATCCAAGGAGAAGGAGGTCACCGTCACCAAGAGCAATGGGGAGACCAGCGTGGGCACTGTCCGCATCTGGAATGAGACTGTCTCCAACCTGACTCTCATGGCCCTGGGCTCCTCTGCCCCTGAGATCCTCCTCTCCGTCATCGAGGTGTGTGGCCACAACTTCCAGGCTGGGGAGCTGGGGCCGGGCACCATAGTGGGCAGTGCCGCGTTCAACATGTTTGTGGTCATTGCCGTTTGTATCTATGTTATCCCGCCCGGAGAGAGCCGACGCATCAAGCACCTGAGGGTCTTCTTCGTCACAGCCTCCTGGAGCATTTTTGCCTACATCTGGCTCTACCTCATCCTAGCTGTCATCTCTCCTGGTGTTGTCCAGGTAAGCCTGTGGCCCAGGGCAATGTTCCACCAAAGCCAGGCTGCCCCTCCTGCCTCGCTGCTCCAAGGCTGCTTTACCTAAACCCAAATCCCAACCCACTGCCTCCCCTTGCACTCTGACACTATATGATTCTCATATCTCCCTCAGTATGGTCCAAGTAAGCTCCCCTAAACCTGCCTGCTGTCTCAGTCCTCACCCTTAACCTGCCGCCTGGGTCCCCAACTACCCTCTTCCCTTCTGACCCCACCGCTTCTAACCGCTACCCCCAAACCTGTAGGTCTAGCATCACCAGATTCCAAGCCCGCCATTTATAGGCATACAAATAATAGCTCACATTTATAGAATGCTTTAAGACTTTTAGAGATGGTTAGCTCCTCCTTACTCTTCCCTCCAGGACTATGGGGGAAGGGGAGGAGGAGACAGCAGAATTCTGTATAAAGGATTATGGGCTTGGGGAGGGGGGGAGGGAAGTCCTGTCTTCCTAAATCTCTCTTTTCTGTGTATTTTATCCAAATGGAATATCTTTATTTCTTTCCACTTTCACCCCTCCAGGCAGAAGGGCAAGGCATCAGATTAAGGTTGAGGGTCCTCTCAGAGCTGGGACAGTTATCAAAGGGATAAGAAGACAGATGGACAGACAGAGATGGAAAGAGACAGAAAGCTATGAGAATAAGTGAGACACAGCAATAGAAGGAAAGATGTGGAGAGAGGGAACGATGAGACCAGAGAGGAGGGAGGAAGAGAGAAGATCAAGAAGAGTGAGGACTAGAGAGGCAGAGACAGAGGAGGAGATACACAGAGATGAGGAAAGAGATGGGGAGTGATGAAAAACTGAGCTGGAGGGAGAGATGGAGAGGGGGAGAGAGAGAAGGAAGAAGGGAAGGAGGGACAGACACAGAGACATTGGCTTGTGGGAGCACCAAACAGAAGAGGGTAAGCTCAGCTTCTCTCTTAACCACTCCCCCTTTCTCTCTCTGTCCCTTCCCTGCTGTGCTTTGCCCCCAGGTGTGGGAAGCCCTGCTCACTCTGGTGTTCTTTCCGGTATGCGTGGTCTTTGCTTGGATGGCTGACAAGCGCCTGCTTTTCTACAAGTATGTCTACAAGCGTTACAGGGCAGACCCCCGAAGTGGAGTCATTATTGGGGCAGAAGGTGACTACCCCAAGGGCATCGAGATGGACGGCACCTTTGTGGGGCCGGATCATCACCGGGTAGAGGCTGGGATCGGGCCTGGGCCAAGCCCCGAAGACCGTGAGCTGGACGAGAGCCGGAAGGAGGTGATTCAGATTCTCAAAGACCTGAAACAGAAGCACCCGGACAAAGGCCTGGACCAGCTGGTGGGCATGGCCAACTACTATGCCCTTCTCCATCAGCAAAAGAGCCGAGCCTTCTACCGCATCCAGGCCACACGCCTCATGACCGGTGCCGGCAACGTGCTTCGGAAGCACGTGGCCGATGCCTCCAGGAAGCCGGCCCTGCTTGACGGTCCTGATGAGGAAGAGGAGGACGGGGCCAGCCATATCTTTTTTGAGCCCAGTCTGTACCACTGTCTCGAGAACTGTGGCTCTGTCATGCTCTCTGTTGCCTGCCAGGGTGGGGAAGGAAATAGCACCTTTTATGTTGACTACCGCACTGAGGATGGCTCTGCCAAGGCTGGCTCAGATTATGAATACAGGTGAGATTCCTCCTCCTCTCCCACCAGCCACCCAACCACTACCCCCAGCCTACTTCCTCCCTGGACCCTAAGATTTTTTGTTCTGCCGTCAAGCATCATAGTAGCTGACCAGCTCCTATATACTGTGGCTCTGTTCCTGGTGGGTGATTTAGGAGCTGGGGCTGGGGGAAGGAATTTATCTGAGGAGAGTAGAAGAGTCATGGTGACAGAGATATTTTTAGGGTGGAAGTGGAATTTTTGTAGCTAGGATCCTGTGTTCCCAAGGGACCCTGGCCCAATGCAAAAGTTTGAGGGTGGGGAGGGAAGGATAGGAGGAGTGAGTTCCTTGAAAAGGCAGATTATTTCATAAATCAGACACTTTTTTTTTTCCAAGTGGGGAGTTCCTTGTAAGGAAATACCCTTCACTAATACAAATCACCACTTTCTCTTTGACTTCGTGTCAGGTTACTGAGTGGGGGCTCCAAGAGGTGACTTCACTTGCTCAGGCCACACAGCCAGGATGTGTGGGAAACAGAATGTGAACCCATCTCTCCCTGACTTTGAGAGCTAACCACTATCCTAATGGCTGCCTCATTAATGGAAATCAATTAATTACTATGCATCAGGCACCAGTGGGAAGCACCCCCTTTTCATTAGGGATGGAGATAGGAACTGAGGCTGTCATCTCATTGCTACGGGGCACTCCCAAATGAGGGAACTTTCTCCTCCAGAGCAGATCCACACAAGCTCTGCCACTGAGAGGCTGGCTGTCTATCCACTAAAACAGGATGCCCTTCATGGATCGCCAGTTCCAATTTCCTGTGACTTTGCTGGCCCCCACCCCATCCCCAGTCCTAAGTCGAGCTTTGGGGGTGGCTGAACAAAGGGAGCCCTGGGGTGATTCTTGGGGAGAAGGGGAGGGAGTCTCCCATCTCACTGGGGAGAAGGGGCTTCTTCCCAGCCCCTGCAGGGAACCCTCTAGCCCAGGAGAGAACCCAGGACCACCCCACCAGCCAGTCACCGGAGCAGTTGGGGGAGGGAATTGGGAAGGCAATCCAAGAAGGAGACCGTGCCGAAGTGAAAATGCAGAGGTGGAAAGCAGTAAGCTATATTCTGTTTTAACACCTGGGAGTTGTGAGTCTCCTCCCTTCTCCTCCCCAGCTAGACTGGAGGGATGGGGAGGAGACTCTGAGGGTGAGGCCTTAAGCTGCTCTTTCACAGTCTCCCCTAGACTTCTACGCATTTTGGGGGGGCGGGGTTGGTAGCCAGGTTAAGATTCCTGGTTTTGCCTCAACTCCAGCTACATGACTTTGGGCAAATTCTTTCCCCTCTCTGGGCCAAGGTTTCCTCACTTGTAAAAGGAGGGGATTAGAATAGCATCTCCAAGGTTCTAAAAGGAAGATTCTAAGATCCAGGCTGTATGATAACTCCTGTTTTTTTCCCCCCATGAATCCCCCGAAGTGAGGGCACATTAGTTTTCAAGCCTGGTGAGACCCAGAAGGAGCTACGCATCGGCATCATAGATGATGACATCTTTGAGGAAGATGAACACTTCTTTGTCCGGCTGATGAACCTGCGGGTTGGCGATGCCCAGGGCATGTTCGAGCCTGACGGCGGTGGGAGGCCCAAGGGCCGGCTGGTATCCCCCGCCCTTGCCACGGTCACCATCCTGGACGACGACCATGCAGGCATCTTCACTTTCCAGGACCGGCGGCTGCATGTTAGCGAGTGCATGGGCACTGTGGATGTCCGAGTGATCCGCAGCTCTGGGGCCCGAGGCACCGTACGCCTGCCCTATCGCACGGTGGAGGGCACAGCTCGTGGCGGGGGTGTCCACTATGAGGACGCCTGCGGGGAGCTCGAGTTTGGAGACGACGAGACCATGTGAGGGGCCATGAGCTGATAGGGGACAAGGGAGGGCTGAGCGGCTCATACCCGGGGACCAGAGGGATTGTGTCCCTAGGGAGAAGGGGATACCAAGGAATTCACAGAGAGACTCAGAACAGAAATGGGCCTAGAAAGAAAGATGTTCCAACTGGCTTTGGTCCAGGGGTGGGACAGGAGTCCTTGAGAGGTGGGGAGAAGGGCCCCCACGTGCCATCCTCATGCAGGGAGAGTTTTCTGGCTGGGGATGGGCCGTCATCTCTCCTCCCTCTCCCTGTATCCTCTCCCCTAATTAGCCGTGTTTGCCAATAGGCCCCATAGGGGGCCAGTGAGTGACTCACTGTAGGCTGGGTTGGCAGAGGAATTGAGATGGAGGAGAACAGGGAGGAGCGGGGAGGAACTGAGGAGAGCATTGGACCCCAGAAGGACACAGATGGCTAGGGCCGGAGGGCAGTGGGAGAGAAAAGCCCAAGCCCTGGGTGGGCAGAGAATGTTTTCAGAGCTGTTAGTGCAGCAGGTGGGATGGAGGCCAGAATGGAAGAACTTCCTGAGGTAGATTCCCAGAGCCTGGCCCCTTCTTCCCTCACCCTACAGCCCCCAAATCTAAATGTACAGATTTGGTCTGAATCTGTGCTTTCATCAACGTGAGGGAATTCCCAATGTGGAAACTCCCTCCAATGATTTAGGTCAGCAACTCATCTGTAACTTATAGTCTTAGGTGCCTAGCTCCCTGAAAATTTAAATCACTCGACAGCCAGAACATGTCAAAGGCAGCACTTGAACCCAAGTCTTCCTGACTTTAGGGCAGTCCTCTATCCAGCAACCCATTATGCTTCTCAAAAATGCACAGTTCCATGTAGAGAGGTGGAGAGAGATCCAGAGGCAGAGACATGGAGTGAGACACAGGGACACACATGAGGGCCAAGAGGTAACAGCAAGGAGAGAGACACAGGGAGATGCAGAGATAAGTGCCAAAGGGAGACCTAGACCCAGGAAGATCTGTGAGGAAAGAGACAGACACTCTGAGACAGGAAAATCAGAAATATGTGGAAATATGCAGATGATACCCATGGAGACAGACATGTAGATGTGGGAAGAATTCCTGCGTGAGCCTTTCTCATGTTTCCCCAATCTCTCTTTCTCTCCACCTTTCTCTTTCTCCCTCCCTCTCTCCCTTTCTCTTTCCCCCATCTTTCTCTCTCTCCCCTCCCTTCTCTCCCCATCTCTTTCTCCTTCCCTCCTTCCCTCTTTTTCTTTCTCTTTTTCCTCTCTCTCCCCATTGTCTCTTTCTCCCCAGCTCTCTTTCTCCTTCCATCTCTTTCCCTCTTTCTCCTTCCTCTCTCTTTCTCTCTCTTTTTCCTTCCCCTCTCTTTCTCTCTCTTTTTCCTTCCCTCTCT